CCCGTGCCCTCTTCTCCTGGATCATGCTTTGTGTAACCAAGACCCCAGAAATCCCTGAAAAGCGGCCTGAGCCTACTTCCAGGGCATACACAAACCACACTTCCCTGTCCATCTTCTTCCTAGGCCCAAGGGAACCCAGGGAACCAAGGGAAGCTTTGTTGGGGCAGGAAGGGGCCATAGAGGGAGCTTTGCTGTGCGGCCTGGGGCACCTTCATGAACACACCGGCACTGCTCCTTTTGCAGTGGAAGGAGCTGGAGGTGGGAAGTGACTTCTCAGCTGAGCTGTAGGCTGTGGGCATGGACCTCCCATGTGGACCTCTGAGAAATTCCAAAATTCTTTAACTTTTTGTTCCTTTTTAAGATATATTTGTCAGAAAAGGAAGCTAGAACATTACTAGTTCGTTAGCTTGATTTGTACCTTTCAACTATTTAGATACGTGGTATTTGGGCCTCTGCCTGCACTCTTGCCCTGGGCCCTGCAAACATTAGGGGTGAACCTACATACAGGCAAATAAATATCTCCCCAAACATGGGAAATGTTAGGCCTAAAAGGGGAGGAGTGTAAGAAATGCTATGACTGTGTACTTATCCATAAGAACCAGGGTAGCACAACATCTTGGAGTGTCTGTTTCTTCATCCGTATAGAACTGGATTAATACTGGCCTCCCTATGTACAGGGTGGTTGGAGCATCAGATAGAATAATGGATGTGACCATGTACCGTAAACTGTTTGCTAGTCTATAAATGTAAGGTGCTATTACAAAGAGATAACAAGAGAAAGAAAGTTTCATGATTGTAAAATTGCCCTATATATAGTTGAAGAAAATTATCCAGGCCCCACCTCCCTCACCTTGTTTTACATAACAAGTTAATTACCAACACTAGGAACTTCTCTATATATATTTTTGAAAAGATTCACTTAAACTTCTGGGGAATAATAGACTCATTGGAGGAGCTCTCGTTTGGAAAATATAAGTTGTCAGAACAAACGGGCCCTGAACCATCGACATCTATGAGAGAATTTCATCAGGAGCAGCAGCACCCGCAGTCACAGGGTGGGAACAAAGCTAACCTGCTCAGAGCTTTCTGAAGCCCTTGCTCTCTGGAACTTTGTAATTGTGACTTTTCCACAGGGATTAATGAGCCTACCAAAAAAGAAAACGCCTTTGCAGAGGCATACAGCATGAGCACAAAATTTTCATTGATGGAAATCTGCCCCAAACCAATCCTAACACATCAGGACCCTATAGCTAACAAATCTGTCTGGACAAACGGAATGTGAATTCTGGCCAAAAGAATTTTGAGTGTATTTAAGTACTTTTCTGTTTTATATTTTGGTGGGTTGACTCATTTTATTTCCGTCTAACATTCTTAAATTAATTGCATTCTAATTTGATTCTTCAATAGTGACTTTCCATTTGCATTCAAAAATAACTGTTAAACTTGTTTGAAGTGAAAGCTCAGCTTTTCCTGGGTAGGCTGACTCACAATATGATGTGGAGAGAGAACAGAGGCCCAGCTACACATCTCAGAACTGTTCCTTCCTCTTTCCTGCTCCCGATGCCAGCCATACCCAAGGCAGGAACCTAGGGAGAAGCATCAGGTTACTGGAAAGCAGCATGCAGACAATGGTAGTGTGCCTTGTTCAGCTTTGGATGGCTGAGAAGAACATGGA